CTTGATTTAAATCATATCAACGACGAAGAGTACAATCGAGACGAAATACTAAACTTAGTACGGAATTATAATCCAAAAATCAAACATCCTCTGAAGATAAGGATGTTTTGAAGATCAACTTCCAATCCGCGGCGGAAATTCATAACAGATTTCGGATTCAAACTACTTCGCTTTGTAGATACAAATTACATATTGTATATATTGGAAATTCTATTGACATAATCTTTCATCTATCATAATCGATAATGACGTTTCTGCCCCCCCCCTCTGCCGCAGAGTAGCGTGAAATGATAAACAGATTTCGGATTTCAAAAATACTTTCGCTTTGTAGTAAATATATATCGGAATTCTATTTGCAATCGAAAGTTCACGCTTACTTTTATGAAATTGCTCTAACATCTGCAAAAAATAATCGGATCCAATTCGAAGATTAAGGAACAACCATCTGCAACATTAATGAATTAGATAACTTTAGCTTAGGTATAACTCCGTTACACATTACTCGCATGCGCAAAAAATATTCGCACCGTAAGGGTTTACGCGCTCCTAAACGCTGTGCGCATGCGTGAACGCGAAGCATGCGGAAAGTTTGTAGCCTTGAGGTCCGGATTATAGATCATTCCGGATTATGGGTGTCTGAATTAACGACTTTTGACTGTATTTACTTTTCTCTAATTTCTTTCTTATGTACTAGTATCACTTTTCAGTTTCATCCCGTTTGAACAAAAAAAGACGGAAAATTTTATTCAGGTAAGACAGAATACTTAGGTAACAATAAAAGAATAATTGAGAACTTATTTCAAGAAATATGGGGAACGAATAACCCATATAACACTATAATGGAAACACTAAGCCCGAGCACATATTAAATCATAGTACCGTACTTCCCGGCCCAAAGGTGCATTTTTCTTACTCGTAAAATTTTAAAATTTACATTTTTAAAATGTGCTCTAAAATCAGCCTGTGTCTTATGTGCTGAGAGTATAACTTCAGCCTCTAAGATGCAAGCTGATTTGTCAGGTAGCAAATAATTGTTCTCGTATTAGGCATAGAAAATGGTTGCCTTTATTATGAAAGTCGATAAGAATGTTGACGTTTTGGGCTAGTAAAAGGCAACAATTTTAATATATCTTTAACAGTACTTCCTAAAAAAATGATGATTTATGCATAAAGAGTGGATAAATTGGACTGAAGTGCCTACTCATGACGTCATACTGACTGGATGAATGACAAGGTCATCAATTTGTAGCATTTGTGAGTGGGTGAAGAAGTCCTGGCAGAAAGTTAAAAGTCAGACTGTCATAAAGTCTTTTCAAAAGTGTGGAATTAGCAATGTGCTATATGGAAATGAAGATGACATTGTGTATGAAGAAAATGACAAATGCAGTGACAGTGACAATCAAAGTGAAAATAACTGTGTATATGATTTTAGCAGCAGTGATGACAAATTTCTGGGATTCTATGATGAATAAATGCTGATATATTTGTTAATGCAACAGTTCCATTTGTATGAAATGTTCTAATTAAAATAGGTACTTTGATCCTTTTCTATCTGATCCATGTATTTTTCATAAATTCTTATCTGATAAATCACAGTGCATCTTATAGGTCAGGAAATAAGGTATATAGGGTTCTAGCATACTGCAACTACATGTAACAACCACACAGCTATAATTACCAGGGCTTAATTTCTAGAATTAGAAGTGCCAAAGCCTTATGGAAGACAGTTAGGAAAGGGCAAAAATAAATAAATAATTAAAATGATAAGCAAAATAATTAACTATTAAACAATTAAATAATTAGTTATTAAAATTTAAAAATTAATGATTAGAATAATTAAACAATTAATATTAAAATTTAATAAAATGCAAAGAGGTAAATAAAAATAAAACCTTTTCTTAAAAAAAAAAAAAATGGAAAGCTTTCAGATTTTATATTACGTCCAAAGGGGTGTTTTGTAATGTTTTGTGTGTTACCTTTAATTATTAAATATCATGTTCTTCGCACTTAAACCATACAATTCAACAGCAATATCACAAAATATTTTTCTAATACACAGTCTCGCATGTTGGAAATAAATTTTTTTGGTTGTTTTTTTGTTTTCCTCGTACTGTGTTGCCATTGCTCGCTTTGAAATCATTGAGTTTGTTAATCAAAAATTCTTTAATGTTTGACAAAATATGAAATGGATAATAAAGCAAATTCCACATTTGGGCTTTTGAGCTAATAATTGCCCCTTTGAGCTAATAATAAGTTATTGAATAAATGGTAAATAATAAATAATAAAATAAAGTACTGAATCTTGACTTATTTAGGGTTTCGGTTGGAATTACAATTTCACACAAAAAATAAGAAATATCTCAATTTTTAATTTAAGTATAAGAAGTATTCAAAAATGTATAATTAAAAGTTATTAAGTAAGTATTACTGAAAGTTAAGTATTTAAGAAATAAGAAATATCTCAATTTTAAATTTAGTTTAATTTAAGCTCTGAATATAATGTACTACTTCAAGGGAATATAATTACAATTTCACACAAAAAATACGAAATAGCTCAATTAGTCTCTGACTCTAATTTAAGCTCTGAATACAATGTACTACTTCAAGGAATGATAGATGTAAAGACCATTCTTTTTCATCAATGAAAAATGTTAAAATAGTTAAAGCATCACTAATGAAAATATAGAAAATGCTATAAAAAGAAACAGAATATAGAGAAAATTTGAACAGATGACCTGTAGTTATGAAAACAAAAAGAGAAGAATCCAACACTTTCTGACATGATCTCCTCTCAGTATAATTCCAGGTGTCAAGCAGAATATGACGGGGGAGCAAATTTTCATCGAATCCAAGAGTTAGCTGAAAGAATAACAAGTGACAAATTTGCACCTCTGTCTTTGATTACAAGGCCCAGTGGCACAGTGGCTAGTGCATAGCACAGCAGCACCACAGGTCTGGGGTTCGATCCATGGGCTGGGCAAGGTTGACTCAGCCTTTCATCCCTTGAGTGGGTTGATAAAATGAGTACCAAGTTCGCTTGGGGACTAAACACCGGGGATCCTGCGACAAGCCGACCACTCATTCAGGGCATATACTCATGCATCCCGGAGCCCACGGTCAAGAAAGCAGATTTCGGGGCACTGCAGGCCTTTGCCCACTAGGACTGTTGTGCCACTGAGTTTAGTTTAGTAGTCTTTGATTACATCATTCCAAGAAGTCTGTAGGTGCTGTTTTCCATGGAAAGATACTTCCATGGAACGAAAAATTTACCCGTTGTCATAAATTCATTTTACTTTCTGAAGAATAAGCCTTTGACATGCAGATCGTGTTTTTCCTTTCTTTAAAAGTCTCTACCTCCATTGAAGGTTTTGTTTTCCAAGGAAAGAGAAGCATGCATTCAGAATTAAAGTAAAATAACACATGAAACAAATATTGGCCATCCTCAGCTGCCCAAAGTGCAAAACTGCACTTTCATTTTGCAAGCTGAGGCTGATGGTTTGGTAAAACCATCGATAACTAGTCTTGTGAAAATTTGCAAATATAACACTGACTTTTGTTGTTTGACATTTAAATTAATGCATTCAGAAGTTATAATCGACTTTCAATATAATTTTATTATTAAAAATAATATTTTTGAGATTAGATTTCTGCTGAAATTATTGTTCAGTTATATTTAAGGAGTGCAGAGGGCTCCAATGTGATCCTGCTAGAACTACGATTTATCCCAAAAATTAAGAAGCACCTGAGCCAGGCTCTGGTGCAGTTTAAGCACACACAATTACAAATTATTTAATACCAAAGAAAAAACATTAGGACTACCTTAATGTTATACACATAAAAATAAGTGCATTCATGTGACAGATAGCACATATGTCTGCAGTTACTTCCATTCATAAACCATAATAAATAAAAATCTACTACTTAATTTTTTTAATTAGTCTTGTTTTGTAGACAGAAAAAGTCAAACTGTAATAGATGAATGAGTACTTTACAGCATTTTCAGATTGTAGAGGTTGTAGATTGTTCATGATCAGCCATGAAATGGCACTTCAAAAAATAGTTTAAGAATGTCAAAACCATTGCACATTTATAATATGTCTAATAGGAATTTAGAAGGAAGTTATCTCATCTGGAAGACATAAGTAAACAAAAGAGATACTTCAATTTAACTAGTTTATAGTATTTTTGTTATTGTAATTTATTTAATTGCAATAATAAAATTACTATAGTATATTGTAATTAATAACTTAGTTAACAGTAATTTTATTATTAATGGTAGGGAAAACATATGAAAGTGTACAGCATAGTGAACCCCACTGCAAAAAGCTTTATGGCTAAAAGCTGTTCTGAGTACTGGTATTTGCCATACAAAAGTCATTCCTAGATTAAAACTATGCTCAGCATTATTAGAAGAAAGTTGCTTAATGTCACTTTCAGTTAGAGTAGATTTAAGGGTGCCCCTGTATTATTGCAAAGTTGTTTCATTTATGGTAACCTGAGTAGTTGAATGTTATGGAAACCCTATTATGATATAATTGGTTGCGTGATTGTGGTGAATTTGAATAATGAGAAAGATTTGTAAGGGCTTGTGGTGTGTGTTGGTTGGGAAGTTTGTTGCTTGTTTTGTAGTTTAGATATTAAAATAGCTGAATGTGGTACGATTAATTTGAAGTTTCTGTACAATTTGGAATGAAAGGGGAAAAGAGCATTAATTGACTGGTGTGGTAAATGAAGGTTTACTTAATAACCATTTTAAGTATCCTGTTTCTAGGAAGGAAATGTGTATAGTCGAACGTCAGAGGATACCGGCATTGCGGAGGATATTTTTGACTCTTATCTTTGTGAATTTATGTGGAGATGTCAGTATACAGATTCTAGTTCAGATAATTTTAGGAAGCTTTTGAATGCTGTTAAGGAATTTTGTTTGACTGAAAATGTGTTAATTCGTAAATAAGGTAGGTGGATATTTCCTTTGTGTAGTGCTAAGATGAATTTCCTTTTTTATGTTATTTGATTTAAAATGTAGTTTATTGAGATTATATATTTTTTGTTGGCTGCTCCTTTGACTTTTTAAGTGAAAATAGATCAATTTGTACATGCACAAAGTCAAGGGAGTGCGCAACGCCAAGTTTGTGTGATTCTCTGATGCTTTTCTAAGTGAAAATAGGTCAATGTGTCCATGGATACCGAGTTTGTGCAATTCTTTGATTTGTTATTTTGGCTTTGCGTAGCAGCGAGTTTTGTGTCCAAAATCACCGCTACACAAAGCCAAAATAACAAGTCTAAGAATTACACAAACTTGGTACCCATGTACCGCCCAAAATTGCCAATTATCGCCAAGGGGCACTCATAGATATATTTTTACCTCACTTTCTCTTGCATGACATAAACAGCCATGTAAACGATCTGTTGCAATGTTGACATTGCAATTAGTTAGGCGATAAAAGTAAATTAGTAAGAGCTGGTGTAATATTTTACTAGGAAATCTTGTTCAGTTATTCATATGAAGAAAACTATAATATGGACGATTTATCTAAATGTCATTCTACACCATGTATTATATCCTTTTATCTCGATGATAATTTCCTCTACAAATATTTTCTTTCAACAGGATAAGCCATGTTATTTTTAGATGATGATTAAAAAAAGTCAATAGGACATGAATAATGTCTTTTTGTGGTCTCCAAATTTCTTATACAGTAAAAGTTTGACTATCTGGAAAGCTAAAAAATGCTGTATACATGAAAATTCTGGATGGTTGAGCAAACAAAAAATGTAATTCCTAATAGGAAAAGCAAATGAATGGATAAAGAAATTTCGAGGCAAAAATTATAAAAATGGTCATCTTAATTATTATTAACAAAGTCTACATATAAAATATGTAAAGGTTAAAAAAATAATAATTAAAAAAAACGTCTTTAGACATGAAAACCAATTTTCATAGACCTTAAACATATGAAAGTAAAAACTCTTATCAATTATGAAATGCTGTCCACCACAAGAGTTGGTGGAGATCCCACCAACACGTGCCTTTTCATTTAGGTAGAAGTAAGAAGAAACATGTCACTCATTATTTAGTTAGATAATCAACAGATCCAAGTTATAGATATAACATGTAAAAATTTAAACCATTTGTCATAATTTGTCATGCTCAATCATCAATATTTATCCATTTTCAATTTAAGCCATTACTTCAACTTTTCTTGATAAGAAGGTTCAGTAATTTTGAAAATAACTCCAGTTCATATCATTCCTTTGAAAGTGAGTTCAGATTTCAATTTTAATCATTTTTTCAAATGCAAGGAGAAACAGACATATAGCAATTAACATATGCTATTCTTTACAAAAATGAGACCAACCCATCAAGAATTAAATTTTACTGATTTTACATAAAACCAAGGCAAGTTAAGTATCTTATGCTTGTATTGTGATATTGTACTTATCTAACATTAGTGCTAAATCAGACTGTTCGCTAGCACAGTTTTTGTTTGCTGAAAATGTTCAACATTAAACATACCGATGAGAGTAGTCCTCATGATGACAGACTCAGTGCCCATCATGAACTTTGGAATCTCTCCTGTGCATACTAACAGATGTTCCTGTGCCATATTAATGGTCTTATCACATTTAGCAATGCATAGCAGAATGAAAACATTAAAAAAATACATTTCTACCAGCATTAGTTGGAATGAGAGGTTTCCAGCTACAACAGCAATCTGTTTTGCATACATAGCTGCAATATTTTACAATGCTGGCAGAAAAATTGCACCAAAAGCTTATTTTTGATTGGAGAGGATATACTCTGGAAGGAACATGTTTCTCGGGAAAGCTTCTTATTATTCCCAAAGAATTGAGAGTCGATAAGAGTTCTCTCAACTTCTCTTTCTATGAGAAGTGGAGTATCTAGTTCCAAGGACAAATCATTTGAACAATATGATAAATATAATGGTATGGGGGAGGGAGAATAATCAATATGTTCTGAAAGAGAGCCATGCAACAACATTCACATTTTAGATGTTATAAGAAAGATTCCGAATAGTAATTATACATGCTTTATGGTTCTTATTTAAATAAATTTCACTTAAAAAAAGTTTCTAAAATTCTGAAATATTCTGTTATTTCAGTTTTTTGGTTAGTTTAATGCAGGAAAGTTGGGCTTTTACTATATGTCAGTTTAACAACATTGTCAACATGTAAGTCAACCATGTAACCTAATTCAAAGGACTTAACTGGTAATATTTTTTAAGCATTTTTGGAAGTTTAAATTATGTGAAATTCAACTTAGACTGGCACTGATTTTAGAATAAAGTTTTAGACATTTCCAGAGAAATGGACATTAATTTATCTTTCTTTAAGTAGTTACTCTTCAGACTTATGCTAAATTCTCTTGAAATATGTAGTCTTTTATAAAAATGAACATTAATCTAAGACTGAATTTCATTAAATTTAAGATGATGTTCTTAACATTTGTTATTCATTTTCACTGTACATGATCCAATATCTTTGTCATCTAACTGAAATAATAAATAAAAGATATTCAAAGTAAAATTTCCACATATCACAAACTTTGTACCAACATGTTTAACATTTTTAAAACCAGATAATAAATAACACACAATATTTCATATTTTGCACTGCAAACAACATCCACACATAGATATTATTGGCATACTTTGCTACTCAATAAATGCAGTAGTCAGATTGAGCATTACTTTAGATGCACAAAATCAATGCTGCAATTTTGACTTTTGTACTTCCGTAACCAACAGGTGCTTCAGTTTGCTTGCAATGATATGCGAAGATTTATCATCTAATGGATCTGAGCAGCTTTTTAACAATGTGTAAAGTTCTTTGGAAATTGCATGAGGTGGAGAGCTTAACAATCCAAAATATGATTGCATCAGTTTCCCAGCAAATATATTAACACAAACTCTCTAAAAGAAAATAAATATATATTAATTTTAAGAAATAATTCAATAAATTTTATACAAAATTTGAAGCAGGATAACTATTCTATGAGTACTACAAAAAGGACTAATAAATTTAATTTAATTTTTATCTCGTACTATTTTTTTTTTTTTTTTTTTCAATTTAGTAATATAATAAACAAACAAACAAACAAAAAGATAAGCAAGTAGCATATATTAATAGAGTGTATTTTATAATTATTAAAGATACATTTTCCTGTTCTAGAGACAAACTGTTAAACACAATTTAGTTTTTGCTGAATTAATTCACAGATGATTTTTTTTAATGTATAAAGATAACAATGCCTACGGTAAATACAATATTCAAATAAAAAAACTATTTTATAATGAGAGAAAGTAGTTGTAATTAACTTACACATAATAAATATCAAAAGATGAAATACACTTGCTTAGTTTAATATAAAATTCAAAAATAAAGGTTTTAACAAGAAATAATGTTTAGATATTTATCAGTACTCTCTGATTATCCATCTAACCTTAGAAGAATTACCAGGTAATGCACTGTGTTGCTAAAGTATGCAACCCAGAATTTCATATAAATGTACTTATCTGGCACACTGCAAATGGCATAAATGCATGCAATTTTGAAGTTTGAGGAACATGTTCGTGTGTTCTGTTTGTTGTGATTATTGTGTGGAGTTACCCTCCTTGCAATAAATTTAATGCAACAGTGGACTTTTCCTGTTAATGACAAAGAAACATCGGTAAAAATTTACTCTGCGGCAACCCTTGGCAAATCGTTTCTTTTTTTTTTTTTATGCCAAGATCGTCGCCAGGAAGGATCATCGACAATTTCAGGATGGCCACTACAAAAAACCAAAATAAGAAGTCAAAGACTTACACAAGCTCGGTATCCATGGATATATCAACCTATTTTCACTTAAAAAAACATCAAAGAATTGCACAAATTAGGCATTACGCACTGCCTTAACTTTGTCCATGTAGGCATCGACCTGTTTTCACTTAAAAAAAACATCAGAGAATTGCACAAACTAGGCAATGTGCATGCCTCAACTTTGTCCATGTACACATCAATCTATTTTCACTTAAACAAAATCAAGAAGCTAAAACAAAATTAAAACTATTATGGAGTAAAAGTATAGTTTAGGGTACCCCTTGGCGATTTTTGGCGGTACATGGATACCGATTTTGTGCAATGCTTTGACACGTTATTTTGGCTTGCGAAGCGGCGATTTTTGTGTTGCACAAAAATGGCATTGCGCACTCCTTTGACTTTATCCATGTACGCTTCGACCTATTTTCACTTAAAAAAAAAAAATCTCTGAATCACACAAAAATGGCATTGCGCACTCTTTTAACTTTATCCATGTACACATCCATATATTTTCACTTAAAAAAAAATCCAATCCACAAACTTGCATTGTGCACTCCCTTTACTTTGTCCATGTACACATCGATATATTTTCACTTAAAAAGTCAAAGGAGCACCAAAGTCTACAATATAGGCAAACAAAAAATACATAATCTCAATAATATACATTTTAAACCAAACAATAAAATAACATAAAAAAGAAAAAATATGTTATACATTTAAGCACTACCAAAAGCAAATATTCACTTAGAGCCACGTAAAAATCAAAATATCAATCATACTCAAATGACTTTTTTCAAACCAGGTACTCTTTCTGATCGAATGCTTCACACAGTGACCATCTGAACCTTTCTTCCTACAAACCCATTCAAATCCATCTAAACAGTTTTAACACACACCACAAAAACGCTTACAAAACATCCCATGATTCAAAATTTCCCAGAATCATGCACCCGATTACATCACAATAGGGTTTCCATAACATTCAACTACTCAGGCTACTATAAGTGAAACAACAACTTGGCGATAAATCAAACAACAACTTCGCCATAATACAAGGGGTACCCTAAAGTCTACTCTACCCCTATTATGGTAACCAGAAAAAATTTGTCGCTCTCACAGAGATGAAGAAATAACCAAAAATACATATTTCCTAACATAAAAACATTAAACAACAAATCTTTTAGACTTCCCACCACCATCTCTTCCATCCTCCAGATAAGCAATTAAATTTTTTGTTGTTTCAGCTCATCCTGTTAATCAATATTCATTCTCTTACCCATCTCAGACATACCCAAATGATGGTACCAACAGCAAAATAAAAGCAAGTTCAAAATCCAAGACCACATCAAGCACGTGCATGCAAACAAAGCAACTGAAAAGAATAGTAAGAACCAAAAGCCCGAGTCCATATGAAAGGGTTACTATTACAAAAAAAGTACAGCGGACTTCCAGATTTCATGAAAAAACAATACTACAGTCAAAAGTCGTTAATTTGGACACCCATAATCCGGAATGATCTATAATCCGGACCTCAAAGCTACAAACTTTCTGCGCATGCGTCGCGTTGACGCATGCGCAGAAAGACCTTTACGGCTGCGAATTTGCGTGTGGGCGTGCGCAAAATACGTTTACGAATGCGCGTTTAATGTGTAACGGACGGGATAAGCTAAGCTAAAATTATCTGATTATCTATTTCAGTTAATGTTGCAGATTGCGTTGTTCCTTAATCTTCGAATTGGATCCGGCTTATTATTTTTTGCAGACTGTTAGAGCAATTTTATAAAAGTAAGCTTGAATTTTCGATTATTTCAAATAGAATTTCCGATATATATTTACTAATATGTAAAGGATATACAAAGCGAAAGTATCTTTCGGAGTCCATTAAACAAAAAGTGGAATTGCTGCAAAAAATAAATAAAGGCATATCCTTTGTTTATCTAAACTTTAACGTTTGTTTATCTAACCATTGTTTATCTTTAGGCGTGCAATGAATTGGAAGTTGATCTGTCAGCACTATCCTTATCTTAAGGGCAGATGTTTTTATTTTATTTGGCTTATAATTGCTTACTCAATGTAGTATTTCATCTCGATGTACTCCGTCTTTGATATGATTTAAATCAAATGCCTCGTCATTATAATTCGCTTCCGATAGCGAAGAAAGTAACAGAGGTTATTGAAAACGAAAAAATTTCGATTGACAAATTAGTCGGTATTCTCGGCACAGCAATTATAGGACTTGAACAGCGGAACTTTGTAACTGAACACGAAATTATGTCTGTTTATAGAATTAAAGAGAATGTATTATCACATAAAAAACGAAGCAACTTAAACAACTTACATTGAAAGAAATGTTTAATAAAGTAAACAAATAAATATTAAGCTTTTTTTTGTAAATTTTGATACCCTTTAGATCATAATTGTTCTTTATTTCGTAAATTACGGTTTCATATTTTTAATTTTATAATTTCTGCATGCCATTTTACCAGATTTAAACTGATGATCTATAATCCGGAAAAATCGATAATCCGGAATCGCCGAAGTCCTGACGAGTCCGGATTAACGACTTTTGACTGTACTTAGCAATTTTTTCAGAAAAAAAAAAAAACAAGGGATGCCGTATAGTAAAGATTAGCCGAAACATCCTTAATAAAAATTGAAAATTACATAAAACAGCGACAAATTAACAGCTGAACAATACTACACGCTGACTATAGAAATGTAAATACCATCAAGATTTATTTTCACCTAGCTTTTATTTATCTCTGATGTTACATCATTATACGCTAGTTTCCCAAAAGTTGAGCAACAAATTGTTGATAAATCTACCAAAGGTATTTTGAAATTCCTGAAATTTGAAAATGTTATAAATAAAAGCAAGCTACATCAAGCAACATTAAAAGCAACTGTTTAGGAAGAATCACTATTCAATGAACAGTGAATACAGTCAAAAGTCTTTAATTCGGACATAAGCCGGAATGATCTATAATCCTTACCTCAAAGCTACAAACTTTCTGCGCATGCGTCCAGTTGACGTAAGACCTTAACGGCTGTGAATATGGTGTGCGCATGCGCATAATATGTTTACGCATGCGCGTTTAATGTATAACGGACAGTATAAGCTAAGCTAAAGTTATCTAATTCAGTTAATGTTGCAGATTGCATTGTTCCTTAATCTTCGAATTGGATCTGGGTCTGGGTTATTTTTTTTTTTTTTGCAGACTGTTAGAGCAATTTTATAAAAGTAAGCTTGAACTTTCGATTATGTCAAATAGAATTTCTGATATATGTTTACTAATATGTAAAGGATCTACAAAGCAAAAATATGTTTTGAAGTCCATTAAACAAAAAGTGGAATTGCTGCAAAGAATGGATAAAGGCATATCCTTTGATTCTCTAACACCATCACGAAATCTGTTTATCAATTTCATGATAAATCCGGGGGGAAGGGGGGAAACGCTGCAGGGTGTAATGAATTGGAAGTTGATCTGTCAGCACTATCCTTATCTTCAGGGCAGATGTTTTTATTTTATTTGGCTTATAATTCCTTGCTAAATGTAGTATTTCATCTCGATGTACTCCGTCTTTGATATGATTTAAATCAAATTCCTCGTCATTATAATTCGCTTCCGATAGTGAAGAAAGTGACACAGAGGTTATTGAAAATGAAAAAATTTCGATTAACAAATTAGTTGGTATTCTCGATACAGCAATTATAGGACTTGAACAGCGGAACTTTGTAACTGAACAAGAAATTATGTCTGTTTATCGAATTAAAGAGAAAATATTATCACATAAAACGAAACAACTTAAACAACTTACATTGGAAGAAATGTTTAATAAGGTAAACAAATAAATATTAAGCTTTTCTTTTGTAAATTTTGATACACTTTAGATCATAATTGTTCTTTATTTCATAAATTACAGTTTCATATTTTTAATTTTATAATTTCTGCATGCCATCCTACCAGATTTAAAGTGATGATCTATAATCCGGAATCTCTGAAGTCCCGACGAGTCCGAATTAACGACTTTTGACTGTATTAAATAATTTTGAGATAGCTAAACTATAAAAAATTAGAGGCAACATTTGCTATCAAAATAGCATTATAGA